ACATCCTCAAATTTTAATTCGCCGGCCTCCTTCGACCTCGTTATTTATCAAGGAAAGAATTCGCCGGCCTCCCTCAAGTTGGCACCGGGGGACAGGTTTACCAACTAAAAGAGAACCCTGGGCCCGCGCCCTTTCCGGGAAAAATCAGCACTTTACCTCGTTATTTATCGCAAATAATTTCGCCGGCGCTTGACCCGTCAGATCCGGGGGTAAACGGCTAAAAGAGAACCCTGGGCCCGCGCCCTTTCCGGGAAAAAACCGGAGTAGCCCAGAGACACCCAGAGAAGCCCGGAGAAGCCGCGGAGAAGCCGGAGAACCCTGGAGAAGCTAGATGGGCAGCCTGGAGAAGCCCGGACAAGCCCGGAAAAGCCAGGAGAAGCCTGGAGAGGTCGGACAAGCCCTGAGGAGCCTGGAGAAGCCGAGAGAAGCCCGGAGAAGCCGAGAGAAGCCCGGCGAAGCCAGCGGGAGAAGCCCGGCGGAGAAGCCCAGAGAAGCCTGGAGAAGCCTCGAGAAGCTGGCCCAGAGAAGCCCGCAGAAGCCTGGAGAAGCTTGAGAAGCCTGGAGAAGCCCAGAGAAGCCAAGAGAAGCCTGGAGAAGACCAGAGAAGCCCGATGAAGCCCGATGAAGCCCAAAGATTCCCGCAGAAGCCCAGAGAAGCCTGGAGAAGCCGGAGAAACCCGGAGAAGCCCCGCGAAGCAGACGGCTTCTCTGGAGAATCCGCCCCGATAGTCTTCATGACTCACCCCCGGGGAGCCCATCGTGGCCCGCTGCCAGCGGCCATGGGCTCGACGGAAGCTGCCTGAGGCGGCGAGCGCTGCCCCCTGACCTGACCCCTCGGCTCTGGCTCGATGATCCTCAAAACGTGTGTTGGCGCCAACGTCGCCACCCCGACGGAGGTATTGTCAGAAGCCCTCGGAGGCGGGGCCAGGACGGGTGCCCCGCTCCGCAGCCACCGAGTGCAGCGTCTCTGCACTTCGGGCGGTGATGGGGACGGGGACCCTGACCGTCCAGAGTGCTTAAAAATAGCCCTCCAGACCTATTGACCCGTCTGGGCTGCCAAGAATCCCGACGGGAATCCCACCAGCCCTCTGGGCGTCGGTGGTTTAGGGCGTTTCCTCTTCCACCCCTCCTTCTCCCCCTTCGGGGAGGGGTTTACCCCCCCGCCCTACCCCCTCCTGTGGACCTGGACGGGGGGTTCTGCGAGTCGTCGGAGCGTCCAAAACGGCCTCGGCGAGGAAGCCAAAATCATTGGTTTTACTGTGGTTTTGGCCCCATTTTGGCCTCCTGATGGGAGGCTCTAATTAATACCCCCTCCCTCCTGAGATCGATCTCACCCAAGATGGCCCAAAGATGCCCCAAGGCTCCCAAGGGGGCCCCAAGAGGGCCCCAAGAGGTGGCCAGGAAGCCCCAAGAGGCCCCCAGGATGCCCCCAAGAGGCTCCCAAGAGACCCCCAAGAGGCCCCAAGAGACCCCTCAGAGGCACCCAAGATGCTCCAAGAGGCCTCGGCGAGCATGCAAAATCATTGATTCACTTAGGTTTTAGCCACATGTTGGCCTCTTGGGGGTGGGCACTGATTCAGATGATTCCAAGAGCGCCTGGGAGAGCCCAAGATGACCTCCAAGATGGCTCCAGATATCCCAAGATGTCTCTGAATGGCTTCCTCTGTGTGCTGCCCACTTCCCTGATAGAGGCAATTCCTCTGGGCATCGTTTCTGGATGGGCTGGTGGGGATTCGTTTTTGGTCAGCGGCCGCGGGCGAGCGCGCCGGAGTCCAGTCAAAGCGGGGCACGCAGCGACGAATTAACCTAAGGCGACGGAGGGAGGCTACACCTACAGCGGCAAACCGAGCCCTCACGCAACAGCCCAGCGGCGGACCTGCGGGTGAGGGGACAGCTGAAACGGAGTCGAACTGCCAACGTGCAAGTATGCAAAGCGTCGGACACCAGGGAGTCGGGACACACGACGACCCAGGCCAGAAGCCGAGATCAATGCAAGGACGCAACCCCGGACAACTGCGTGAGTACCAGGGTGGCCCGGAGGACCGTCGGTCAAAGAGTTAAAGCCAGGAGGCGAGAGCGTTGTCAGGCTGCAAAGGGCTGGGGGGGACTCGCGAAGCGTCAACAATTTAGACGTCGAGGTCCTGGTGCTATCTTGTTAGCCCTCCTGGAAGGTCAGGGGAGGACAGGGTGCAGGGAGCGGGGCACCGACCGCACCGAGGCCCGCAGCGAACGCGGGACACGGCGCACCCGCGAGGCGAGGCAGAGGGTGGGCGTGCTCCCTGGGGCGGACACGCTGTTCCCGGGGGGGGGAGGCGGGCACGTCGCGGCATCCATGTGTGTATTTATATATATGTACATATCTGTATATATATATGTGTGTATACATATACACAAGCATACATACATACATACATACATACATACATACATACATACATGCATACATACATACATACATACATACATACATACATACATACATACATACATACATACATGCATCCCTCCCTCCCTCCCTCCCTCCCTCCCTCCATCCATCCATCCCCATCCATCATCCATACATACATACATACATACATACATACATACATACATACATACATACATACATACATACATACATACATACATACATACATACATACATACATACATACATACATACATACATACATACATACATACATACATACATACATACATACATACATACATACATACATACGTATCCCGCCCCACTCAGGAAGGGGGGGGGAAGGGGAGGCGGCGCGCGCTCGGACGGCCGTCTAGGTCACATGAACACACAGGGCCAGGCAGGAGAGGGTTTTTCGACAGAGGGCCCAGGTCTCATGCGCACGCTTGGCACGCGCGGGTCGCGAAATGAGACTTGCGGCGCAGCTCGCACAAAAGTCGTGCGCGTCTGACGGGCTGCAGCCAAGGTGCAAGGTCTACGGACTTATAACACTCCGCTACTGAGGGACATCAGCGAATTCGTCGTTGGACTGGGTTGTATGTTTAGGCGGGCGAAAAAGGTTTTTCCTCCAGGGCTCCTGAACGACATGACCGGTCCTGAGAAGCAGCGCCGATCAAACGACACAGGCAGACCTGACACGCGTTAAGTAGACACCGCAGCATCAGCGACAGTACACTCGAGGCGATGAGGCGACGCTTGAAACCCAACCCCCGACGTCGTGATGTTTTCACCACGTCGACCCCCAGAGGTCTGGACCCCTTCCACGGGACCGGTTTCTCATCCTGAGTCGTTTTTTGACGCTCCCGAGGCCTGGCGAGAGCCCCCACAGGCCCAAAATAATGAAAAACCTTCGTCGTGATTTTTTCACGAAGCGAGGGGGTCGGGAACAAGCATCTCGCCAATGCACGCAAGGCGGCGACGAGGGCCTGGGGGCGGCGGGAGGAGAGGGAGGAAGAAGAGGCCCAGGATCGCCGCTCTCCCCTCGGGCGAGGTGCTGACCCCTGCCAGCGGCATGAGGCTGCTGGAGCGCCGTGGGCCAAGTGGCAGCCTCCTGGGGGGAGGGAGGGAGGGAGGGGGAGGAGGAGGAGGAGGAGGAGGAGGAGGAGGAGGAGGAGGAGGAGGAGGAGGAGGAGGAGGAGGAGGAGGAGGAGGCGGAGGAGGGGAGGAGGAGGAGGAGGAGGAGGAGGAGGAGGAGGAAGGAGGAGGAGGAGGAGGAGGAGGAGGAGAGGGAGGAGGAGGAAGGAGAGAGGAGGGAGGAGGAGGATAGGAGGAGAGGAGGAGGAGGGAGGAGGAGGAGAGGAGAGAGGAGGAGGAGGAGGAGGGAGAGGAGGAGGAGGCGAAGGAGGAGGAGGAGGAGGAGGAGGAGGAGGAGGCCCCTCCAGGGCAGGAAGGGGGGGGGGCCAGGGTTGGCGAGGGTAGAGGGCAAGCCAGTTGCGCTCGCGCCGTATATCTGACGTCCTGCGCCTCCCTCCCGTCCCTTCCCACCTGCACATATGTTCTCTCTATCCGCGAAGGGGCATAGCGGACCTGGAACTCCACGAAACATCGTGAGATGCGCAGTCGAAGAAGGGAAACTTGTGGAGCCTGTGGGACCTTGGGGACCTCTGTAGCCTGTGAGACCTGTGGGACCTGTGGGACCTGCGGGACCTGTGGGACCTGTGGGAACTGTGGGACCTGTGAGACATGCGGGACCTGGGAGACCTTTGGCACCTGGGGGACCTCTGTGGGACCTGCGGGACCTGCGATACTTCTGGGACCTGTGGAACCTGCGGGACCTGTCGGACCTGAGGGACCTGTGGGGCATGCGAGACCTGCGACACCTGTAGTACCTATGGGACCTGTGGAATCTGTCAGACCTGTGGGACCTGTGGAACGACCTACGACACCTGCGGTTCCTGTGGGACCTGTGGGGCCTGCGAGACCTGCGAGACCTGTGGGACCTGCGAGACCTGTGGGATCCAGAAAAGTGCCCCACGCTGGGGCCGGAGCGCTCTTCTGAACGACGGGAGCACAGCGCGGATCCGAAAATGAGGCCCACGCTGCAGCTGGAGCACCACTTTTAAAACTGAAAATAATCGGAATGAAAAAAGCAAATGACATAGCAGTGTGAGGAGGAGGAGGAGGAGGAGGAGGAGGAGGAGGAGGAGGAGGAGGAGGAGGAGGAGGAGGAGAGAGGGCGAGGGAAAGGGGGAGGGCGAGGGCGAGGGGAGAGGAGACGGGAGGAGCAGGGGCAGAGGAGGTGAGAGGAGGAACAGGAAGAGGAAGAGGAGAGAAGAGGAGGGGGGGCAGCGGCAGCTGGCTGGCAGAAGGGTAATACAGTGTTCTGAGCGGTGTTCGGCAACATTAGACGGTTGATTGACGACCGAATCCCGCCGACAAAGTCAAGCGTTATCATATACGTTTGACCGTGAGCTGCTGTCGCTCCAACTGGTCCCAAATGAGGCGATCAAGCCAAGCGCCAGGCTGCACTGCTCGAGACTAGCGCGCTACGCACTCGCGCGCGCGTTTTACCAGCGCTGCGGCTAGCCTTGAACTGGGGTTTGGCGATCTCCACCAGCTTGTCGCAGGCAGCCTTGTCACCCGAAACTGTGCCCGCCAGATCCCCACGATGGCGATCTGCGAGGCATGGGACATGCTTGCCACTGACACCTTCAGACTGGCTCTGACGGATATAAACGGGACATTGCCCTGATCAGGCAGTGCACGGGCTACGAACACGTAGGAAGAGAGAGAGAGAGAGGCGCACTCACCATACCATAGCTGCCATGGAAACCGTATCAAAAATGAACCGACATTCGATGCGATCCTGGACCCCAGGTCCCACCAGCCCCTGGGCTTCCAAACTGATCCCTGATTCTCCTCTTGGGAGGGCGCTTATCCCTCCCCCTTACCCCTCCCCCCTCCCCTGGGGCCAGGGCCCTCCCCCCATCCCCCCGCCCCCCCCCGCGACTAATTGGACCGTCGAAGATGTCCCGAGGTAGGTCCAAGATGGCCTCAGGTAATCCAGGGTGGCGTCGCAGACGGCGCCACACGGCCCCAGACGTTGTCCCAAGATGGCCCCCGAGGTGGCTATGGACCCTCGCAATGACCCCGTGAGAGGCCGAAAGCATCCCACCAGCCCTTTGGGCGCAGGTGGTCTAACGAGATCTATCTTCCCTCTTCCAAAATCCCTCTTCCCCTCCGGGGAGGGGTCTACCCCTCTTCTACCCCCTCCCCTGGACCTGGACGGGGGGGGCGCGAGGTGTCGGAGGGTCCTTTTTCGCTCGAGATGGCTCCAAGAGGGCCTCAGAGAGCCTAAGATAGTCTCCAAAATCGCTCAAGATCGCCCAACATGGCTCAAGATAGCTAACAGCATGCCTCCGAAAGGCCCCAAGAGGGCCACAAGACGGTTCCAGGTGCTTTTGGCGCTCCCTCAGAAACTCCCCGAGAAGCCAAAACCATTCAAAAGCGTAAGGAAAATCACTGGTGTCTGCCTTCTCGCTTGTTCGCTTCCGATGCGCTTTTGAGGCCTCAAGATGGCCCTAAGATGGCCCAAGAGAGCTCCAAGGAGGGCCCAAGAGGCCCCCAAGACTGCCCCGAGAGCGCCCAAGATCGCCCCAAGAGGGCTCCACGAGCGCCCCGAGTCGATGGCCCTGGCGGGGCGGCGAGAGGAGAAATCGAGGACACCCCATCCTTTGATCAATGGTCTCCAAGATGGCCCCAGGAGGCGCTCCATAGCTCCCAAGAAGGCCCCAAGAGAGCCCCAAGAGAGCCCCAAGAGGGCTTCATGAGGGCCCCAGGGCGCCCCAAAAGAGCCCCAACAAGAGGACCCCAAGACCCCCCCAAAGAGCCCCAAGAGGGCACCAAGATGCCCCAACAGAGCTCCAAGAGGACCCCAATATCCAGCAGTACAGCCCCGTAGCTCCAAGAAGGCCTCCGATGCTCCAAGATAGCCTTCAAGATGGCTCAACACCATCCGTCCTTTCCTCACCTTGCACGCTCTGTTTCACTAGATGTGTCTCTTCTCGCCATTTCCCGACAGCTCTCATGGGCAGGGCTTCTGAATGGGCTTTGGGTGCATCCTCCTCCTCATCATCATCATCCTCCTATTCTTCCTCACACTCTCCCTCGTCATACTTTCCCTGCTCGTCCTCCGCATGCTTTGCCCTCTCCTCCCCCTGCTCCTCGTCCTCGTCTTGCCCTCATCGTCTTCATCTTCATGTTTCTCCTCTTCCTATTCGTCGTCGTCGTGGTCGTCGTCGTCGTCGTCTGCCTGCTCCTCCTCCTCTCCTCCTCCCCCTCCTCCTCCTCCCCTCCTCCTCCTCCTCCTCCTCCCTCCCCTCTCTCCTCCTCTCCTCCTCCTGCTCCCCCTCCCCTCCCCCTCCCCCTCCCCCTCCCCCTCCCCCTCCCCATCCCCCTCCCCCTCCCCTCCCCTCCCCTCCCCCTCCTCCTCCCTCCTCCTCCTCCTCCTCCTCCTCCTCCTCGCTCCTCCTCCTCTCCTCTTCTCCTCTTCCTCCTCCTCCTCCTCCTCCTCCTCCTCTCCTCCTCCCTCCTCCTCCTCCCTTCCTCCTCCTCCTCCTCCTCCTCCTCCTCCTCCTCTCCTCCTCCCCTCCTCCATCCTCTCCTCCTCCTCCTGCTACCTCCTGCTCCTCCTGCTCCTCCTCCTCCTCCTCCTCCTCCTCCTCCTCCTCCTCCTCCTCCTCCTCCTCCTCCTCCTCCTCCTCCTCCTCGCTCCTCCTCCTCCTCCTCCTCCTCCTCCTCCTCCTCCTCCTCCTCCTCCTCCTCTCCTCCTCCTCCTCCTCCTCCTCCTCCTCCTCCTCCTCCTCCTCCTCCTCCTCCTCCTCCTCCTCCTCCTCCTCCTCCTCCTCCTCCTCCTCCTCCTCCTCCTCCTCCTCCTCCTCCTCCTCCTCCTCCTCCTCCTCCTCCTCCTCCTCCTCCTCCTCCTCCTCCTCCTCTCCTCCTCCTCTCGCTGCTGCGCGGGCCCTGGGGATGGCCCGAAGTGGCCCTCCAAGGTCACCCCTTTTTTCCCTGAGATCTCTCTTGTTCATCCTGGTTGCCCGCTTTGTTTCACTGTATGTGTCTCTTCGTCCCTTTTCCCGTCAGCTCTCATGGGCAGGGCTCCTGAATGAACTGGTGGGGATCCGCGAAGCGTACACGATTCAAGTAGCCTGGCGAAAGACCCCACCATATGCAGCTGCGAGTGCCGCAAGGCAGGCGGGAACCAAGGCAGGGGCTCGCAAAAGGAGGAAGGCATGCGTGAGAAGGACGGAGCGACGTTGCTGAGGGGGTCGCAGGGGTCAGCTGCAACGGGTTACACCTGGACGTCATCCTTCACGGCTGGTCTGAGCCTCCGTCGGCCCAGCCCTGGGGAGAGGGCGCGGTCTGGTGAGCAGCAGGCGGCGGGGGCCGTTGGTGGAGCTCCCATGGGACCACGAAACGTGCGAGGGTGCGCCAAAATGAGCGCGGTCACGCATGCGATTCCTGCCGATGGGGCATTCGGTGGAGCTCCCTGTGGGGCCACGAAACGTGCGAAGGGTGTGCCGAAACGGGCGCGGTCGCGCATGCGACTCCCAGCAGTGGGGCCTTCGGCGGAGCTCTCTATTGGATGGGCCACGTGTGAGGGGTGTGCCGAAATTGGCGCGGTCACGCACGCGATTCCTGCCACTGGGGCCTTCTGTGGAGCTCCATATGGGGCCACGAAGCGTGTGAGACATGTGACGAAGTGGTCCAGAGGAGACGTGCGGGCACAACCTCTGCGGCCTTGGGCGGAGCTCCCAACGGGGCCACGAAACGTGTGAGGGGTGTACCGAGATGGGCACGGTCACGCGTCGCGGTTCCTGCCGAGGAGGCCCCAGGCGGAGCTCCCTGTGGGGCCACGTGCGAAGGGTGCGTCGCAGTGGGCGCGGTCGCGCAGTCCACTCCTGCCACAAGAGCCTCCGGAGGAGCTCCCTATGGGGGCCACGACACGTGTGAGGGGTGCGCCGACATGGTCTGGAGAAGCCATGCGAGCACACCCACTGGGGCCTTCGATGGAGCTCCATGGGGGGCCGCGAAACGTGTGAGGATGAGCCAAAGTGTGGTGGGCATGCGGGCGCAGCCACTGGGGCCTGGGGTGGAGCTCCCCGTGGGGCCACGAAACGTGCGAGTGGTGTGCCAAGGTGACGTGATGACGGCATGCGGGCGCAACCACTGGGGCCTCAGGCGGAGCTCCCTATGGGGCCACGAGATGTGTGAGGGGTACGCCAAAGTGAGATGGTGGCGGCATGCAGGGGCATGCCGCTGGGGCCTTGGGAGGAACTCCATATGGGGCCACGTAAGAAACGTGTGGGGGGTGCGCCAAAGTGGGGTGGTGGGAGAGAGGAGAAGAAGGGGGTGGAGGGGAAGGAGGACGACGAGGAGGAGGAGGAAGGGGAGGAGATGGAAAAGGGGCGCTGCTGATTCATAACGAGGACTCAACTCAACACAGGATGAAAACCGTAAGCTGTTCAGTGGCGTTTACCTTCTAGCCTGTTCGCGTCCGCTGGACCTCTAAGGCAGATGGGCGGGAGATGGCCCCAAGCGCCCCAGGAGGGCCTTAAAGGCCCTAAGAGAGCCCCAAGAGGCCCCAAGAATCGAATTTTCTGACTCAAAAGGGAACCTTGATCTCACCAGCCCTCTGGGCATAGGCGAATTTACCTCTCAGACCTCTCATTGAGAGAAGGGTTCAAAGAGGGCCCTCGAGGCTCCCAGGAGGACCTCACAAGAGCTGCACGACGGCTCCGAGCGACCTCCAAGAGACTCCCAGAGATCCCCTAGTGGGTCATTACTGGGGGCTGCCCAGCCGAATCCCACTTTCGGTTTGACCAGTGCCCCCCCTCCTTCACACATGGCAAAGCAGCGGGGCATACTAACAACAACAAAGAGGACATGATAGCGGAATGATCCAAAGCAAGCAGAATCAGCGCCTAGCGTCACATTGCATCACTTTGCGTGCCCCCCCTGTTTCACACATGCCCTCCGATCCCCTTCTCACCAAAACTCGCCTCGGGATACTCTGCTCTGTCCCGTTCCCCTTCTACTCTCTGCCGCGCGGCTGCTCGCCAAGGCACACCAGCGTATCGCGCGCTCTTGACGCGTGCTCGCAGGCGATGCCACAGACCAGCGGTCAAAGTCGAGCTAACGAGAGGGTCGGCTGTACGCAAGAGTGACCCTGGGCAAGGGTGCCCTTTGGTGCCCGGCTTGGGGGGGCCGCAAGGCAGGCCAAATCCAAGCAATCCAAGCGCGCCAGCCAGTGCTGGCGGGCCCCCTGTGGGCCCACACCAAAGGTCTCTCCCGCGAAAGGACACTCTCACACGTAGCCGAGGGGGGACATGGAGGAGTGGGGAGACTGGGGCACTTGGGGTGCAGGAAAGACTCGGCGGAGGGCGGCAGCCCTTCAAATAGTTGCCCTTGCACAGGTAGTTCGCGATCCGGACCAGCTTGCCGCTCTGCTCCGAGGCGGCGGCGCAGAGCTCCTCGGTTTGCTCGCTGTCCAGGCCGATCACGCTGACCTGTCTGGTCGCCCCCCAGCAGAGAAGGCTCGGCTACACACACACAAGAGTGACCCTCGGCAGATGTGACCCTGGGTGCGCGGCCGCGGGGAGGCCAAACCCAAGCAATCCAGGCGCGCCAGCCGGTGTTTGTGGGCCCGCGCAAGGAGGTCACTCTGGCGAAGGGCCGCTTCCTACGCGTAGCAAAAAGGCGCCCGTCGCCCGTGCACGTCTCGCCGCCTGGCACGACGGCATGCTGCGCGGCGGCGCTGGGTGTGACCGAAGGTGGGCAGCTGGCGACGCCCGACCTGGCCCGAGGGGAAGGGGCCTTGGCGGAAACGGGCCCTGGACCCTGGGGACTTCCCTGGGACCAACTTTTTCTCCGGAGCCCTTTTGTGCACTGTCCCGGATGCCAGGGAACTGCCCCACGCAGCCCGAAAGCGGTCCAAACCTCCAGGACCTCTCTCGCCCAGGACCCCTTGTCTTCGTGACAGACCGGGGGGCGGGCAGGCGATGATCGACGGCGCAGAGCTCGGCCCTGCCGGCCCCAGCGGCCCCCTATGCCAGCTTGCACCGTCGGCGTCGAGCGGGCGACAGGACCGCGGAGCCCAGGCTCTCCCTCCTCCTCCTCCTCCTCCTCCTCCTCCTCCTCCTCCTCCTCTTCCTCCTCCTCCTCCTCCTCCTCCTCCTCATCATCATCCTCCTCCTCCTCCTCCTCCTCCTCCCCCCCTCCTCTCCCCTCCTCCTCCTCCTCCTCCTCCTCCTCCTCCTCCTCCTCCTCTTCCTCCTCCGTCCTTCTCTTCGTTCTCATCCTTCCATCCTCTTTCTTTTCCTCCTCCTCTTCCTCCACCACCTCCTCCACCTCTCC